ACATCACACATCACATGATCCTTCCCATCCACCACCACATGCTTATTACTGATGCTCAAACACTAACCAACATTTTGCTCATTCACAAATGAAAGCACCCCCGTCATCGTGATGTCATGCGGCCCTTATGTCCACTCCTAGGAAGTACGTAGATACCTCTGTAATAACCACTTTCAGTAATAACACCTCACTCACACGTGGATTTATTTTGAGTCAGAAGGAAGGTGAGATAGACTGCCATTTGAAACTTTAACCTAAATTAAAACAATGATGGATAATCCAAACATCACCGGTTCAACTACTGTTTCTTATGCTCCTCCTTTGGCATTGTTTTCTCTCCAAACACTCTTTATTCTCTTTCATTTCTGACAATATTCTGCTTGTTTGATCATGTAGAGACGTTTCAACACTACCAGACCTCCACCATTCATCCTTCATTCAACAGTGTGTGTGTGTGTGTGCGTTCTTGTCTGTGTGTGTTTGCCTACCTGCAGTTATTGCAGACTTCGGCGTGGGAGGGGCCAGACACTTCCTTGTTCCTGATCTCAGGTGCCTGGTGAGTGTGACGTCTTTTTGACATCTGGTTGTCATGGAGACAGAGAGCATGAGGGAGAGAGAGCTGTACTGAACTGTAACGACGTGCCAACTGACACACCGAGGACTGAAGAGAGAAGTGAGGAAGCTGGATCTCTGTTTAGAGTAAAAACACACACACAGGCATACATTCAGATAAAGTATTTTCACACACACACACACACACACAGTAGGGAACTAGCGAGTGTGTGTGTGTGTGTAGGAAACTGAGATTGAGTCATACGTGCTCACACAGAGAAATAACGTTTCAACACAGCGGCTAAACTCCGGGCTGGGAGGAGGCCGGAGCCGTTGGACGTGTTGCTCAATACGTTTCACTTTAATGCTTACTTAACAGGTCTTGGATAAAGTGTGCAAATACAGAAGCATTTCAAATACCAAGTACCATTTTAATATCTTAAATATCACAACTTAGATGCAGAGTTCAGGATTCAAGGATTCAAGGGTTTTATTATAAATGTAGTTATGGCAATGAAAATATTAGGTCCCGAGCTCCTCCAACAATGCAACATATTATATAAAGGACATAAGACAACTAAATAACAATAATAATTCACAGCTGACATTGGAAAAAGTTTTACATATCTCTCCTTTCTTTAGAATCACAGTTAATTATGGGTGTTAGTCATTGTAACCATTGAGTAACAGTGTATAGGCAGATAGAGCCTATTTACATCAAGAACAACAATATATTTTCTTTATTTTAACGTATTTTCAACAAATCACTCATAGCTACTTCTGACAATTATCAAAAGTACACCAAGTTGTTCTCCAAAATGTATATCTCCTGTTTTTTAACGCACACAGTATGATGATCCACTTGCATAGACTTGCTCCAGTAAGGTAATCCATCACGGTAAAGACCATGACTTTAGGTCTTATTATTGTTGCATGTTTATACAGTGCAGGCTATTGAAAGTCGTCTGTATTAACTGCTAAAATGCCACTGACAGTATAACAACTTCAACATGTGATGAATGGAAGCATCTCTAAGAGTACAGCATCAGTATTAGCAATTTAAAATAAAGGGATTTCACGAACCCCCGTGTGGTCCTAACATCTGGTGCAATGGTTCATTGAAAACATTTATGCAGTAATGTAAGATGTTTGTTGGATATGTGGTGAGTCTGTGTTGTATGTTCAGTGTAATATAAGATAGGGCTGCAGTGAATGTGTGCTCACATTACAGAGGCTGTTTGGACACTGGAAAATGATATGCTGTTAAAAGTACTTTGTCCACAGCTTGCATGTATTTAAGATCATTTTGACACATACATCTTTCTTTGTAACTTCTTAACACTAAGAGAATATTTTCTTTAATCTGTTGAAACAATATGTTGGGCAATGGGATAATTCAGGGTGTGATCATTCATTTTGCAGAGATTAAGATCATTATATTTGATGGGAGGAGCAGGATTGTAAGTAAATGTATAATTTTTTATTAGTTCAAGTTTTACAGTATATACACCTCCTGACCATGTATGAGCACCAATAAAGATACAGAGTTTACAAGGAGGTAAAAGTGTTGAGATTTGTATACAAAGTTGTTGAGAACACTATTTTTAAGTAAATACAACATTAACAATAGCTCAGCTGTTTGACATGACATTATACTATCTATGCGTTGAATCCGTGAACAAGAGAGAAAGATTATTCTGGTTTATAACACGTCCTCTGCAATAGAGGCCATTTATTTTATTGTCGAGATAACATTGGAACCACCAAAGTAACCGCCACACAGGTCTGGAAACATGGCATCATCGCTACAGACTTTATTTGTTGGTAAACAAGAAAACGAGGGCACCTGGAATATCAATTATAATCCCTGACTGCAGAAGAGAACTATGTGTGTGACAACTCTTGAGAGTACGATACACTCTGTGGTTAAACTTTGACCTCTGTAAACCTGTAAAAGAGGTTTATAACCAGAATGGAGGTAATCATTGTTCTGCTGGCTGGTTCTCTCAGATCTCAAAAAGTACTTTAAATTTATTTACGTTCTTGCCAATTGTTTGTTTTATAAGAAGATCAATAACACTCGTGAAAATGAAGCTACAGCCAGGAGATAACTAGTTTATCATAAAGCATATAGAGTGGAATCAGTAGGAAACAGCTAGCCTGGCTCTATCCAAAGCACAGAAAAAAGAAACTAAAACGGGGGTATAAAAGCGACATGTTGTAGTTTTTAGTGGATGTTATGTGACTCCTTCTGGAACTGGTGCGGTACCTTCACTCGTTGACAAAAATACTTTATACTACTATAAATCAATCTGGCAAAAGATGTGAAATATTTCAGAAAATATTGAACTTTTCATTTGATGATTCAAGAAATCAAGGTAAAAACGACTAAAATAAGTCCCAAATTGTAAAAAACTAAAATTATCCTTTAATAATGGCATCATAAACCTTTAGTTTACATACACACACAGAGAGAGACTTGTAGACGGGAACATGCAGTCTTTTCACAGGCTGTAAACAAAAGCAAACTCTTCCCATAATAAGCAGCTCAGACCCTGCCCTGGTTGCTACACAATAGACGAGACCTGAGACATGGAGCACAGAAACTCCCAGGAAAACACTCCGCGGTGCTCGACAATGAGATACAAAGAGACGGGGCAAGTGTATCTATTCACCTGCAACAAGTGGAACCGATCAAGCCTTCACACACACACTGCTGGAGAAATATGAGAAAGGAGGAAAACTTGGATCATATTACTATTGTATCTGCTGGTGGACTGGATTTATCATGCCAAATTGCATCAAATGTGTGTCGGCTGGTAATCACTGTTTGTGAGTGTTAGGTTTTTAATCTCCCAGTTGTCTCTGTCTCTCATGGCACACAAATAAGACCACTTACATATTTGGCTGTGATAAAGCAACAACGTTTCTTGTTAGAATCTGTCCTTGTACAACAATAGCATCATTCTCCACTTTGCCACTATAGTTAAAGCATAACCTTGTTTGTGTGTGTGTGTGTGTGTGTGTGTGTGTGTGTGTGTGTGTGGTGTGTGTGTGTGTGTGTGTAGGTGTGTGTGTGTGTGTGTGTGTGTGTGTGGTGTGTGTGTGTGTGTGTGTGTGTGTGTGTGTGTGTGTGTGTGTGTGTGTGTGTGTGTGTGTGTGTGTGTGTGAGAGAGAGAGAGAGAGAGTAAGATGTGGGTCTAATAGATTCTAATTGGGTCTTGATGAGTGAGAGATATCAAACCCAAACTTATGTAAAATCACACACAACTACACGTATACACACACACACACACACACACACACACACACACACACACACACACACAAAATAAGACAATAGATATACTTTGTGGCCAAAGGTATGTGGATAGTCCATTTTTGCAAGGTGCCCAACCCTGGTTTGGACAACACTTTTAATAGACAGTGTTTCTTGAAATTCAAGCTTTTTAATTAATAATGTAATCAACTTCCAACACTATACACTTTATAAATAAAAAAATGAAGCTCTTTTGCTAAACATGAAAAACATGTTGTAATCTCAAATGACCCAACGTGTTGGCTGAAAAAGCACATTTCCCTTTTGACGTTTAGTAGTGCTTTCTTATATTTATAAATCTGCTGCAAAACCTAAACCAAATCAACTACTCAGGACTTCAAACTTTGACCCACAAACATCACACTCAAGTTTATTTCCATGAAGTGAAGAAAAGGTCCAACTTTCATTCTGATTTTCAACACAAATAAACTATCAGTTTCAGTGTGGAGTCGTAATTGTCAATTGTTTTTTATCAAGTTATAGTTAGTTATATGGTATGCCTCTTAACCTACATGACACCCTACAACCCTATTTTAGACGATGAAGTGTCTCGAACTTCAGAAAGGACCTTTCCTGTTTCAACCATAGGTTTCAACGCAAAGTCCATAAAGAAAATGGTTTTCCCAGTTTAGTGTACAGGAATTCCACAGCAGAGAGCCATTTTGCAGATGAACTGAACACCTTCTGCAAGCCAGAAATCTGCTTTCAAAATCTTGTGGAAGCTGTGGTTGAGTGGAAGCTGTTATGAAATTATCAAAAATCACATGACGTGTCACATAATGCTTGAATGTCTCTATACTTTGGGCCAGATATTGTAACTGGCACTTGTACTGCAAGTAGGTCCACTAAAGTTCACTTAAAAAATACATAAAAGAAAAAGTGTAAATACT